CAATAGGCTTCTTCGTCTCATGACCTTAAACACTGTGTATAAATTTAAAGTCAATCAAATATTAACTGTGGCCTCTAGAGCGTCCACAAGATTTTTTGAAGTGATCAAGGGCCATAACTCTGGCAGTAATTATCGGAAATCGCTGAAAATCAATAGGCTTCTTCGTCTCATGACCTTAAACACTGTGTATAAATTTAAAGTCAATCGGACATTAACTTTGGCCTCTAGAGCGTCCACAAGATTTTTTGAAGTGATCAAGGGTCATAACTCTGGCAGTAATTATCGGAAATCGCTGAAAATCAATAGGCTTCTTCGTCCCATGACCTTAAACACTGTGTATAAATTTAAAGTCAATCGCATATTAACTTTGGCCTCTAGACCGTCCACAAGATTTTTTGAAGTGATCAAGGGCCATAACTCTAGCAGTAATTATCGGAAATCGCTGAAAATCAATAGGCTTCTTCGTCTCATGGCCTTAAAAACTGTAGATATAAATTTAAAGTCAATCGGATATTAACTTTAGCATCTAGAGCGTCCACAAGCAATTGTGGACGCCGGACGGACGGACGGACGAACGGGGGCGAAGACAATATACGACGTTGACGTTGACGGCGACGAACACGTCAGCCGATCAAATTAAATGTAACTCACTAAAGCAAAAGATACGCTAATCAGTAAATCTTATGCAAGAACGGATAGGAAAGCAAACATGGATAGGATAAACCAGCACCCGGCAGTTTTCATCAACTCTTCCTTGAAGTGTTAAATTTGACAATGAACCCCTCTCACGTGTATGGCGCTATTGGGTGTCACATCCACATATATGCAGCTCAGTGGTTCTGTTGGGGCGATAAGTTCTGTGAACATACTCTCAAAGCATGTCAAATGTCCATGACTATTTATCATATCGCAACCTATATAGGTACATGTACGTGTATTTGCATTTCAATATCCCCTACTTTTTTGAAGAGTATATTTGAACTATAAATGATATGTTACATGTAGAGTAATTCTATGTACATGTAGATTAAATAATAATTTATTCTCGACAATCGCCCAAATATTTGTAATTGTTCTTCTAAAATTTCGTGTTAAGAGTTTATTGTTCAGATATTAAAGTAGCTAAGTCTCTAACTCAGTATCATCCAAAATCTTCGACATGATTTATTTGTCAAACGGTGACACTATATTCTTATCTGGAGAGCAAGCCCAATAAATAATATTGGCGTAGACTGGAATAACCAGACGCTAGGGATTGAAATTCGATTGAGAATACTGGCGTATTTCGCCGTACCTAACTGATTAAAAATTACAGTAAAAACAGAAACGATTGAATGTAAATCAATTCATATACATTCATATTACATTATTGTATGCGTTGCAACCCATTTGTGTCAATTTCTAGGTCCCAAATATTAGCGACTTAGCTCCTTTAAATGTGTCTGCAGGATTATGTTGTTATTGTTGTTTATTACAAATTTATGAAAGAGTAATAAAAGAAAGGTAAAAATATTTTTTAAAAGGTTCTTGTAAAATAATTTAAAAAATAGGTTGCCATGCAACGAAGTATACACCCACAGCAGCTAAATCGTCCGATCGGTCAACAAAGGTTGTTGCATATTTATTCTTTTGTGAATAATGGAGAGAGAGAGAGAGAAATCGGGTTTAACGTCCACTCGACACAAACTAGGTCATTTCGGGACTAACATATGGTTCAATTTTATTTACATAAATCGCTTGCGCATAGGGGTCTTTAGTAGTGGGAGGAAACCGGAGGACCCGGAGAAAACCCACGAGGTTGGACAGGCGACCCTACTCCTTGCGCGTAGGGGTCTTTAGTAGTGGGAGGAAACCGGAGGACCCGGAGAAAACCCACGAGGTTGGACAGGCGACCCTACTCCTTGCCACATACAACCGGCTTTTGTGAATAATGGGGAGCATTTACAGACAATTTCATACAGATCAGATTATAATTTTCGTCTTTGAGGAGGGTTCACAAGGTTCTACAAACCGAAACAAGTGCCTTAACACTGGAAGTAATTTACAGAAATTATTGAAATTTGACAGATCAGATGATAACTTTTGTTGATTGAGCATTCCTAAGGTTCAACAAAGTTAAACAAGGGCCATAACTTTGGAACTAATGGATCGAAATTGCTGAAATTCAACAGGATTCTTCATTTCACTAATTTAAATGATGCATATAAATTTCATACAGATTGGACGATAACTTTTGTTGATCAAGCGTTCACAAGGTGCAACAAAGTGAAACAAGGGCCATAATTCCAGAGGAAATTAACGGAAATTATAGAAACTATATAGGATTCTTCATCTCACTAATGTAAACAACATATATCAATTTCAAAACAATCAAATGATAAATGTAGCCTGTAGAGCGTTGACAAAAAATTGTGGACGACGGACCAAACGACGGACTAAAGGACAGGAGTGGTGATGACAATATACATCCACATGAAAATGTGGGCATATAAAAAAGGATTATAGAATTATGTGGCTTTAATGTATAATCAGAAGTATGTGTTTTTAATGTGATTATAATTGATTTATCACCTACATCTACATGGTGTATACATGTACCTGTAGTTGTCAATCAATAGAGCCATTATTTGATCACTGATTAAATCAGTGAATTATTTTATAATCAGAAAGATTTTTGCTAGATTAGTGTCAATTAATTAACCTATTGTTTATGTTGTGGTTCAAAAATCTCAATAGAAGGCAGGATTTAGATGGAGTAGTATTTTGGCTATTATTGGCTATTTTTTTTTGCTGTTAAGTTCATTGGAAAATAACATTTTATTTGTTTTCAAAAGAGATCATACATGTAGCTCCTGAATCATTTGTTTCTGATCGTTTTGATTAATTAAACATACATTATTCAAGAGGTAAATCTGCCTATTTTCAGGTCTTTCTTTAGGCCTGAAATGTTATCTAAATTGTTAATTAGTTATTAATTAACTTATCCAAGCCATAATCAACTCTCGATGGCATCGGATTTCTCCGATATTAAATAGATTAGAACAGTTCAGCCATATTTTGATTTACATGTAAGCTAAAAATGGGGAAAGCGAGACTTAGCTTCGAACAACCAGTATGGTGGTTGAAATTATTGCAAACGTCTTGTCAAACCTTCAAAGGCATATATCTTCGCTCGCAATGGAGTAATTTGAATGAAATTTTCAAATTATTCATTTTACATTACCTATTTTCAAACTATTATAGCAAGAATGGCTAGCTCTTTATCTAAATCTAACATAATGTATCTTTAATAGGACCTTCTGGACTATGCCTATGTTTAGGGCCAGGACAGTTTACCCAGTGACTGATACAAACACCTAATGTTACCAAATGCCACCTCATTATCAATACATGTATTATCAAAAGCTACATGGAACAGAACACACTAATTATTTCAACATCATCATCAATGAATTAAAGCCCAAATGTACATGTAATTAGCAAAGATTGTACCGTAATTTATAAAACCCTATGTACATGTATGTAAACGTATTGTGTATCTATATTAAAGGGACAATAACACTCTTGCTGGCTTGAAAGCTCCAGAAAATAAATAATATCTCTATCTAAGTACTAGATGTTTAAGTGTCCTATCTGTTGTGTAAATTATCCATTACATCCTATTTTACTTGTCCAGAGGGTTCGAAAATATCTTTAAATTGAAATTTCATTTGAAAAGGTTTATGTTAGATGTTTCAAACCATTATGTTGAATTTTTCAAAATTTTTAAATAAGGTGTGTTAAGATGAAATTTGTATCATCAATTAATTGAAATATTCTAAAATAGTACAATTTGTTGACCAGAATAAAGATTGGGACATATTATTCATTTACAGCAAGAGTGGTATTGAGCCTTTAAATGTGAAAGATAGAGATAAATGGGGTTTGACTTTCACCTGACAAAAAATACAAGTAGGCCTAATAAATATGTCTAGCTCATATGCATAATGCAGTGGTGAGAACAGGTCGAGTCCCAAGTCACTGCTTACCTCGAGATTCCGAGTTGAGTCTCAAGTTGCCGACTTTAGTATCGAGGCGTGTCCCACGTCTTTACAAAGCCTGAGTCCTGGTCAAGCCATCAGTTCATCAAGTGTGTCAGAAATTCTTGGCGAATAAGTATAATAAGTAAGTTAGAGATATGCCGCCTAGCTGTGACTCGAGTCTTCAACTCTTTCAAGTCGTGAGCCGTCACAACTGCTGAGTCAAAGTCCTATTGCAATAAATATTTCAAGTCGAGTTGTATGTTGGGTCATTGATGCAACTTAAGTCGAACTCGAGTTCCCACCTTTGCTGGTATGTGATACATTGTAACTTATTTCAATTTAAAAAATGTCAATTTGTGTAAGAACAGAGGAACTATAGCGGTAGGCCTACATCAAATCTCTGTGAACACAAACCATTGGTTCACAATTTGTCACTCCATTGCGAAATATCAATAGTTATTGAAATCTCTTTCTCACGATTTGAGTAGGCTATTATATCGAGACTCCTGTTTAATAACGTTTTTTGATATTGCCTTAGGCCTACTGGGCATAGTTACGTATGTCTAAGCCGGCTGCACACATACCCTGGCACCAATAGTGCATGTGAAACTGTGCATGACTCTGTTTTTATTAAACAAACTTGCGAGTAGTCTGCTGTGGGGTTGTGGTTTCGGCTTTAATTAAAGTACCCGGTACAGACAGTTCAAGTTGACTGAATGAAAGAGTCTGATTAAATTTCTTTCTTTCTAAATATTCCCTTACTTAATGTTAATATAGGCCTACTAGAACTACATGTAACTTTGTTAGGCCTAGTAGTGGTACCAACAGTGCAGGCTGGTGCCTATCAGGACCTATCATGAATTCATTGTCAATACACTACGAGAACTTGCACTCATCTAAGTTCTCTCGGTCTTCTGTCAGTGCCTGTCAGTGGACTGGATGAAATCTTTTCTTTTTTTTCGGATTCTCATAACTCACCCTTTCTTTTCACAACCATGCTGTTGTTACATCTTCATCTTTTCATATTAATGCATCACAGAATAATTTTTGGGAATTTACATTTTGAATGGAAAGTATCGCATTTCTCTAACTTATTATATGATCTTAATCTAAGCTGGACTGTCAACAAAAAGTTCATGTTAGTTCACATCTTCGGTGGGGAGCCATTAAAATTACCCAGCATGCAACACTACAACGTAAACATTGAAATATCCAAGTAAATAAATCGTTATAATATCGTGTATTTTATTGACAGTGCAAAAATAAACAATATTTATTTCCGTGTGCACTAAAAACTATATGGTTATAGGGATTACATTTGTCGCTACTTTGTCAAGAAATCGATATTTTTGTAAACTCGATTGACGTAATTGGTAATGTAGTTCGGTAGGTGCTCAGTGCTTTCATGATAAATCCAAATCACTACGCGCATCGAAACGGCCGCCATCTTTGCATCCAGTATCGCAGTCTTTACAGCCACAATTTAAATCTGCGATCATCGGCGTGCAGGCGACCGTATTTACGTGGAAATTAACAAATTTGATTAAAGTGATATACTGTAATGGCTGATGCAGACAAATTAAATATAGATAGTGTAATTGCACGACTATTAGAAGGTAAGTAAAGTGACCTAAAAAAATGTTGCCGTATTTCTCCATTTGACGGCCTTGATTAGATACTTTAAAATATGTCTTAACAAGTGAATAACCGTTGACAAAGGGGCTCACGGATCACTAAAATAAGCGAAGAACTCTAGCTTACGGATAAATTGGGTAATCTATTTCATTTTGATGAGTTAAGATGTCTATTTCGTTAGAGCCAATTCCTACTTTTCATATTTGAGCCAGTTTAGTTCGGCTTCATTTTTGACATCTCAAGGGCTGCAGTTACAGTCTAGTAGCTTGATTAATTAGTGCAAAAACTCCATGACCTCCAGCCTTGTACACTGTAGCATCTTCATGGCTTGCTTGCTTGCTTCATATATTAGTTGAATATAGATTGTGAACAATGGTGTCGTTGCGAGGGGAAAAAGGGGGTACGAGCCCAGGACATCAAATCCATACAAACTAAAGAAAGAACCAGACCCTATTGAGGCTATTCTCTAGTATTAGGCCTAGTTGATCTGATATCCATATACATATAGGGACAATTCTGACATAACACGCTGGTGATTTAGAGTTCGGTATTATTAAGAACTCTCCCGTCAAAAGACAAAACCTAGTAGGCCTAACTCACTTTTTTTTTATCAAAATTGAGTTAGGACCAAATTTGTAGTTACTAGGGTATGTGCTTCCTGTTGTTAGGGTGACCCACCATAAATAAATATCTCCAAATATCTCGACAATTACGCCACAATATTTATATATGCCAAGCCTCAAATCAGTTTCACACAATTATAGTCACTAAATAAACGATCATGTTGTACTTAATAAGCTATGACCATTAATCATCTATAAATAATAGACTGACAACTGGTTCCAAGTGTCGTCCATAACATTCAGACACTTTTGAGTAAAAGATAGGTTATTTGCCCTTGTTTTTAAATTAGTCTCACTTAACCAGTATATCGACCATTCTACGTCTGATTGACAGGTCGGGATATCAAGACTACTTTTTTACGAAACATAACAGAAAGCTAGAACAAGAAATTGAATTTAGATATAAGCACTTTAGACAACTCAACAATTGTAAGAAACTTGTAAAAGTAAAATGAAACTACTGCTAGTATCATGTTCCTGTCTAACCCGCCGAGTGTTTCAGAGATATTATTTGTACTAAACCAAAAGATGCCGCTCTTAACGGTACAGTTAATGATAAAGCAATTTAAAAAATACAACAAACGTAATTTCTAAAGCTGCTGTAATAACCAAGAAGCTAAATTTTACTGCTATTCAAAATCGTCAACAATAGATTTTTTACGGCTGTAATAGTTGATATATTTGTAGAGAATTGCACGGGCCATGGCGACTTATCGACTCAAAGATAGTGCGGGGTAGTCAGAAATCAGTTCGAGACACGCAACTGAAGCGTGCACATTTAGCCGTGTCGAGACCAACTTTCTGTTGAGTGCACGGGTCACCCTACTGTTGTACTAGATATTCCAATCTTTTGATTTTGTAAGCAGTTACACCCATGACACAACCTAGCAACTTCCTTCATTTGCCTAGTATACCACAGCAAAACTCAATAGTCAGATCAATGGATTAGCTGGGGTTTAATATTCATTCATTACGTTTTTCTTTGTTTTCTCAAAATGAGAAAAAGGTGAGTTGCTAGGTTTTGCCTTTTGACAGGAGAACTATGACATAGTCGTACAAAATTTTGTTTTAAAGCAATTTAATTTCTATTATGGTTGTCTATGATCATTGTGCCGGTTGTCTTATTTATCATTAACGAATGGTAAAGTTGATAAGACGAAAACTGTGGCGCTGTGATAAACGATTAGAGATATGTATTAAATTTTGCAGACTAAAGCCCCTCTATGCTGGTACACTACTCAACACTATACAGGACCAAAGCTATAACAATATTTCTTTTGCGCTTATTATTGCCACCTCCGTTAAAAAGGGACGAAAGATTTGACGCCTTTTTGAGAAGATCACAGCGACATTGACTTGAGCAGCGATTGTCCAGATGAGCGAAGCGCCATACTCAAGTACACAATAAATGGCACTGTTTTCTATACAGCCATGTTGGCATGAGACTTTTGACATGAGTGGCAGTTAAATTTGTTGACGACTTTTATGGTTTTCCATTATCTTTGTTTACCAGTCCCACGGGCCAATGGGGAAGATACTTTACCAGTAGGGCTACAATGTTAAAATTTATTAGTATAAAACTGAAAGTCTGTAGAACCCAGTGTACTCCGGATTATGCACGTGCTGCATGTGTACGATGTCATCACGTGGGACTTATCATTTGAGCGTGAACAGTTGCTATGTGAGTTCAACTTTTACTAGAACAAATTTTGACTGCTTAGAGTGCATTACCATCAACTTCGACGCTTTGGTCGTTTGTAACGGTTAAGCGGGACCTTAATCACGCTTTCCAGTATGTGACACAACACTCTGGTAAAAACAGATACCCACTATCAAAGATTATAAATTTGTTTCGCTGGTTACGTGAATTTACAACAGTTTCTATAAGTTTATGTAGGTTCCTGTTTGTAAAATACATAATTTTATATTTCAGTTCGCGGATCAAGACCAGGAAAAAATGTTCAATTAACAGAAGGTGAAATCCGGGGTTTATGCCTGAAGTCAAGAGAAATATTTCTAAGTCAACCAATTTTATTGGAATTGGAAGCACCACTTAAGATATGCGGTAAGTACATTTGTAAATAGAAAATTGTTTAAACTGAAAACAACTCTTGATGTCATAGGATCTCTCCGATATTGAGTAGATTAGAGCGCTTCAGCCATATTATGATTTAATCTAAAACTGGTGATGTCAGGCTAAGCTTCGAACAACCAGTGCCGTACGGTGGTTACAATTAATGCACAAATCTTGTCAAACCTTCAAAGGCAAATACCTTCGTTTGCGATAAAGTAATTTGAATGAAATTTTTCAGTATTCATTTAGCATTATCTATTTCGAACAATTATAGCAAGTATTGCTAGCTCTTTATCTTAATCTTACATAATGTATGTTTAAATTAATAAAGCCGGTTCAGTGACTGTCACAATACATTATACAATTTTTATTTATTTATTTTTTTTATTGATTTATTAGGTGATATACATGGTCAGTATTATGATCTGTTACGGTTGTTTGAATATGGAGGTTTCCCACCAGAGAGCAACTACCTGTTCCTGGGAGATTATGTTGACCGAGGCAAACAATCCTTAGAAACGATATGTTTATTATTAGCTTACAAAATAAAATATCCTGAAAATTTTTTCCTGTTAAGAGGCAACCATGAATGTGCAAGCATCAACAGAATATATGGATTCTATGATGAATGTAAGTATTGACTATTAACAGTTACTTAGGCCAAATCAAAAATATATTCTGATTCTCAGATAATCCTGTGTCACATACAAGCTACATGTACAATGTACATGACCTGTTTTTATTCTAAAAAAATAAATGATCTCATTTTACCACACAGAGAGGAAGTAACTCGCAGTTATGTACCACTGACTCAATTATCAAATATGCAATCCTTATAAATGTTAAAATGTTATTGACAATCATAAATGATACTGGATAATGATACATTCAACAATGTGTTGAGATAAATGTAAATCTATTATCTTGAAACCTGGCACAGAGTTCACAAAGCATTCTCAGACTTTTTCCAAAATTAAAAGATTGTCTATTTGCCCAAACGCGACCGACCCAAAAAAAGCCGCCTAGTCAAATTCTTTTGTCGTTTTTGAAGATTTTTTTTTTTTTTAACAGCATTATTTTTACGCTTGACAATGACACCCAAACGTGAAATAATCGGTCGGGAGATTGAACAGCCACTGTCATGTCTATACATAGTAACACCAAACTCGACGCATGATTTTGTAAAATCTCGTTATTTATCGCGATAGTTATTGTTAAGGAACGGTATGTGTCATGGCAGACAATTACTTTACACTGTCGTCTTCGGTAGTGATAAAAACCGAAAATAAAGTAAAACCAATCGTTTCGAACAAGTTGCAGCGATTTACCATCAGTAAGACATGGTGGGACGTCTTTGATGATGTCACTGTAGTTGATGAAATAGACACGAAGACAACGGACAAAATGGTTGTGACTGTTTCAACTGTTCTCGTTAGGCCTAATAAAAAAGTTAGAGTTTAAGTATTCTTTTGTTTTTGCACTTAGTTCTCAAAGTCTGGTCCTCCCAAAAAAAAAAAAAGAATTTGCCTACCTACCTACCCATACCTAATCATCATGAGTCGGGTTTGGGCAAACTGAAATATTTTTAACCCTGGTCTTAGAGTTAAGAATTTACTCAACTTGTTTCTTATTGATGTATTTGATACATGTATATAAAACAACAAATTTTTTTATGTTGCTTATTGATGTATTTGATACCTGTACATGTACATAAAATTATATTTTAGATAAAATAAGGCGAATAACTTTTGAGTAAATTTTTATGTTAAGCCTGAGAATGCTTAGTGAATTCAGGACCTGATATTTATGGGATGTTAATTAGCCCAGTAGTGATACTTTGATAAAAAAAAAACAACCAAAAAACACCACCTCCCAGATTTTTGAAAGATTGTTTGAAAACCAGGATATATTTTTGTTTGTATTGCCTTATCATTAAGAAAGTAATAAATATGTGCAGACAAGAATAATTTGTCATTAATCATTCTAATTTTTAAAGCAACTGATATCATTTACATTTTACGAATGTACACAAATTGTTTCTTTACCATTTAAGAAAACCCCCCAATAAAAATCAATGGTAAATAATATCCTGGCATTAAGCCAACACTGAAGATGGAATGTTGATATCATCCATTTCAATGTCCATTATTCGCAAGTAACCCACAGCAGTGCCCTACATTTCGCAGAAAGCAGGGGACTATCAGTATGGATGCATATTGTCAGTCATACCTTTTGGGACACAAAATATTGTTCAATAGACAAATGTCTTGCCGATGAGCATAGGTCTAGCACAAAAGTAATTCTATTGGTCGATGCTTTGGGGCACAGTGACTTGAGGTCAGGGAGAACTAATACCTTGGCTAAGTTCGATAATAAACATTTTCTGCTCCAATGAAACGGAATGATAAGCAATTTGATAGTTGACAAAAAGTTCAATTAATTGATATGTCTATTTATTTTGCCTCTAAAATAAATCACGGTTGTGAACGTGTGAATAACAATTAAATCAATACACCACTAGAAAATCAGATGTGGACAGGAAAAAATTAAGGATTTTTTGACAGTGGACTGTTATAAACACAAATACCGTACATGTAGCACAATTACTACATTATTTAAGCCATTTTTTAAAGCGAGGTTTCATAAAGGGTTCCTAACATTATCAAGCAAATGATGAATATAATATACAGAACGTTTAACAATTTGTTTTACTGATTTATTGCGAAAACATTCTTTTAACTTTTTATAAGATGAGTGACCTTTATAAGTTCACATGACACATACAGGTGTCATCACATCACACGTCGATCTTTGGCTCATTAGCCCATGCATTGTTTACGTCACATAAACTGGTTCATGCAGAAAGATGCCTTTTACTCATTTTGTATACCTATTGACATGTACATGTACACTAAATAGGAATTATTTTTACCAAGACATACTTCCAACGTCTTTATTTTTCTAATACTTCAAAAACAATTTAATTTACAGAATGGAAGAAGTTAAGATTTTGAGCTACTTAACTCGGCACCGATGTCATCCCTCTAAGTGATTTAATCGGCGTAGCGAATATTCACTGCTGATCAGTATGAAGGTTTATACATGTATGTTCAAAAACCAACAAACAACTGATTTAACTTTATAAATAAAACATCCGGCTATATTTGAATTTGAACAAGTCGGGTGTTAAAACCTCTCCTGTTTATTTTTAGGTAAAAGACGGTACAACATTAAATTGTGGAAAACATTCACAGATTGTTTTAACTGTTTACCCATTGCTGCCATAATTGACGAGAAGATTTTCTGTTGCCATGGAGGTAATTATCTTATTTCTCTAATCAATCGATTTGAAGCTGTTAGGTGGAGAAAGTACAGCACATAGCAAATATTCCAAGATATCAATTCGCCTGGGTTTTCTCTGGGTCCTCCAGTTTCCTCCTGCTAAATACCACTACGCACAAGTGTAATTTTGAAATAAGACGTAGACCTGACATGACGAGTGGACATTAAACCCCCATCTCTCTTTCTCCATGCTACTTGGTTTAAGCCCAGTTTAGGTCAAATGTAGTAAATTCCTAAGATATGAAAAATTGAGACCGGTTAGTCCCGAAATGTCTTGTCAAGTGGATGTTAAGTCCCATCTCTCACCCTCTCCATACTAACTTGGTTTGAGTCTAGATTAGGTCAAATCTAGTAAATTCCTAAGATGTGTAAAATATGTCACTAGAGATAAAGAGTAAGGTTACATGGAATATATCAATATTTACTGTTAAGATAAACATGTGAATTATTTATTGTTGCCTTGTCTTAACCTACTTCTTGATAATAAGATCAATAGATGTCTTATTGATTATGGAACAATAGGGTATATAGATTGATGGTTAATAATATTATATATAGATTATAACATAACTAATCATGTCTAGTTGATTATTTAATGACAAATCGTGATATATTAAGACGATTACTAATCAGATAATCTGATGTAATATCCTGACATTAATACCAAATATGGTTTAATCCTTATAAGGCATATAGAAGCACTTGCATTGTATATGGTTTATTACTAAATGAAATGAAATGGGATTTATTTTAAAGTCCAATTGTTCTGCGCCGCCTGGCATGTTTATTACAAATAAGGCGTCAGAATATATAGAGCTGAGAATAATCATACTTTTATGTGATCAATAAACAAAGAATTGTAACATGCACAAAAAAAAAGATTAACAATGGCTTTCAGTTGATTGAAAATATTTCTAAAATAACATGTAGTCTGTGTTGAAATAAAATGGGGTTTAATAAAGACAGTGTGCTATAAGGCAAGTTTTGCCCGAACAGCGACGCTACAGACTACTCTTATATCGAATTCCAACTGCCAGGGGATCTTCGCATCTGAACGACTAGATGGTTGTCCTTGTCAGACCATCCGTCCTGCACCACTGACAAGGGGGGAAACCACGCCAGAAAATCCTGATAAACTTTCTTGGGCAAAACTAGGAACGAACCCGCGACCTCCAGACTAGCAAGCCAGAGTCGTACTCACTTAGCCACCGTGGCTCCTTCTGATCAAACAGATCCCTGACAAGGTGTTGTTGTTTGGATGGACAAAAAACCGAGGTCCTGTGTACACATTGCCTTGCACTTAAAAGATCCCTTGGCAGTTGTTTATTTCTACATGTATCTGCCTTTCCTTTCTGTCATTCTCATTTCTTAATATAATCAGTGTTGTCCCATTATTTAAAAATAAGGCGTTGCAACTATATATTTATGTTTTAAAATTACCTTCCAAACTACTTTGTCGAGGTGCTTGTCAAGTTTGGTAACTGTAATAACCTATTCATTAGTTAAGAAAGCCTAATAAATTTGATATTTTTTTTAACAGGATTAAGTCCAGATTTACAATCTATGGAACAGATTAGAAGGATTATGAGACCTACAGATGTACCAGATCAAGGCTTACTATGTGATTTATTATGGTCAGATCCAGATAAAGAAACAATGGGCTGGGGGGAAAATGATAGAGGGGTATCATTTACTTTCGGTGCAGAGGTGGTGGCCAAATTCCTGCACAAGCATGATCTCGATCTTATATGCAGAGCTCATCAGGTAGGTTTGGTTTTGTTCAGTGTATCATTAGTTATTGCAATAAGTAAATAAGCCTCTAACTCAATATCATCCAAAGTCTTCGACAATGAAAACACAAATTATTTGTCAATTTAAATCAACATTGTTGTTGTGATCTTACCAGGAAAAGAGGGGCTTCTGATATCCAATATTTAAGACAAACATTTTACCAGTGGTACCATACAGGAATCGTGTTCCATAACGCTCGAGATTGGTGGGGGATGTCCGAATGGTTAGCACGAGCGCGTTGTATCATAGGGTCTGTCATTCAGTCAACTGGCGTGGGTTCGATTCCCCGGTTGTACGTGACAAGGAGTATGGTCACCTGTCCGACCTCGTGGGTTTTCTCCGGGCCCTCCAGTTTCCTCCCACTGCAAGCGGATTATTGAAATAAAATTGAACCGTATGTTTGTCTCGAATGTTTGGATCCGCCAAACAAAACGAGTACATGTATATATCATGGACAGCATGTTAGTCCCGACAGTCGAGATAAGTTGGACTTTGACAAAATGATAATATACATTATATTGATAATAAATATCCAGTGATAGTTTGACCCAGCAGTAGTTTTTGCAGGTCCAGGTTCTAAAGTGTTCAAAGCACCAATTTTGATTTCATCATTTAAACTGTTTTACCAATGAAATGAACAGTTAAAATAATAAAATTTATTTATTACTTCAGGTAGTAGAAGATGGTTATGAATTCTTTGCCAAACGACAATTGGTTACATTATTTTCGGCTCCTAATTATTGTGGAGAATTTGACAATGCTGGAGCAATGATGAGTGTTGATGAAACGTTAATGTGCTCTTTCCAGGTAGGTTTATGTGGAGTTTGGGGAGTGAAGTTTGAAGTCTTCTATAACTTTTACGCATTTACCATAAGTTCTTGGTTTAACCCCCTTGTAGACCTTCAAACTTGCCCATAATTTCACAGGATGGAAAGTCGGGTCAGGAAAGGTGTTTGGGGATTGAAGTCTTCTATGACTTTTGCGCACTTACAATTTCGGGGTTAACCCCCTTGTAGACTGAAACTTGCCCATAGTTTCATGGGACAGAAAATCAAACAAGGAAATGTGTTCTCATTCAGATGCAACGGAAAACCAAGGTCTACGTAAACGGACAACTTTTGGAATTCAATAGGTAGAGGCTTTGGCTTGCTAACCTGGAGGTGCCATGTTCTATCCGGGTGTTGGCAGAGAAAGTACCTCAGAATTTTCTGGCGTGGTTTACCCTTGTCAGTGGTGCCAAGAGACATGTAGTTTTTTGGATGGTACAAAAAAGGTCATGTGTACACGGTGTGCCCATTTGGAATTCAAAACGAGAGGAACTAGAGGTAGTGGTGCTATCTGGGCAAAATTTCCCTCCGTAGCACACCCTGTATCGTGTATGCCAGTCTTCATTAGCTAGTCGGTGTAGGACGTTTAAACTTCCATTTCATTAAGCATTATGTAAGAGCTAAATTTGCCTGTTGCATATTTCCTTAGACCTTAAATGTTATATCAATTATTAGACATTAACTTATCCAGACCATAATCAACTCTCAATGCCATTGCTAGCCTGTGCTATTTAGCGGATTGGAATACATTTTTTGAAAAAAAAAACTTATCTAGACCATAATCAACTCTCGATGCTATCGCTAGCCTGTGATATTTAGTGAATTGGAATACATTTTTTGAAAATTAATTAAATGTAAAAAATGGATAATCGAGACTTTATTGTACAGACTTAAGTAATGATGATCGAGGCTAGCCTAAAATTCAAAAGCTAATATCTTGGTTCAGAGTTGAGCAATTTGACTGAAATTTCAGCATATACTATTTACCTTAACTGTTTTTTAAACTATTATAGCAAAAACTGTCAACTCTTTATCTAATCTCCCATAATGCCCCTTCAAAGAGTACTGAATTTAATTTTTGTTTTACAGATCTTGAAACCAGCCGACAAAAAGAAATTCCCATACGGAGGATTAACAGCAGGCAGGCCTGTGACACCTCCGCGAGGAAACACGAAGGCTAAAGGAAAGATGTAGTGCATATCACAAATTTTAGGAAATAAGGATCGTTACTCTAGTTGTAATGATTGAAATTTTAAAGGAAGTGAAAAAAAAAAATAATTCTTGCTCTTGCTCATACAGACTCTGGGCATACATAGCAGACATGATGTCCTATAAAAACTATAGACTTGTAAATAATTTGTTATCGATAAATTTATATATTATGTACTTTTTGTGTGTGTACGTACATTAACGACAAAATAACTACACATGTCACCCGTAATATTCAGTGCTGTATAAAGATGTCAATTGTAAATGTTCTCTGGAGGTGACATGAAATTGAACTCTGAAAAAAAAAAAAATTACAAAAGTATCAAATTAAATTGAAGGTATTTGTAAATATATTTGTTGTATTCCCCCTTCTTCCCCAAACCCCCCTTCCCTTCAGCTGCTTCACTGATCAAAAATGTCTGCTACTGTATTGTACAATAACATTCTGTTCGTTTTCCTTTCAAAACATTCAAATTATTTTTTAACATGGCAAATTTGTATGCAAGTCATTTTCATTTTAACACAATATTGTAGTATATGTATTTGTATCATATTAAATAAATTGACTGTAGATATTAAATAATGTGGACATTTATAAAATAATTTTATAATAAGCCCCGAAGAACCCACACCCATGAATCTGGCACTCCTTCCCCTCAAGTCAGTGTGTCCATAATTATTATTCTTTATTTGTATGGTGACTGTAAATAAACAAAAAATATCTGTTGCTTCTGTTTGTGTCTGGGATGGGATGGGGGCACTTATCAAAGGGAGATAACTCTGGAAATATTAGTATGCCGACCACCATTGATTTCCATGTAAATTCTTGTCTCTTTGCAAGGCTCCAATCGTTTTGTTGGATAACTCTGGAAATATTAGAGGCAAACTACCATCATCTCTATTGACCTTGTTCATTCTTGTCCGTTTGCCTGGCTTCAATCTTTTTAGATAGAAGTACCCTAATAGTATTCATGTAGCTGTCGAGCATATCTTCGGTGGGATATCCTTCTGCCTATAAAATAATAAATATAATCAAGAATGTGGCAGAAGATATCAATTGTCTTGCACGAGACCATAAATCGGTGGACACACTAACCTAATGATTCGGCCGAATCAATCGGCGTCGAAATTCGCCTAGTGTGTCCACTGTCATTCGGCCGAATCAAACAGGTTTGATATATTCGGCCGAATTAGATTCGCCTGGTGTGTCCGCTTCGCCGAAACATTCGGCCGAATGTAGAATTATATAAGCCAATCACCACTCATATCGAGAAGTCACGTGATAGTTTGAAGACATAGACGTCGCCATGTTTAATCATGTGACATGAAAGGTGATGCAATCGACCGGTTAATCGGGCGAAGCATTCGGCTAGTGTGTCCACCCATTCGGCCGAATAAAATTCGGCTAATGTGTCCACTGCTTTACACTCACGACAGACACTATCCAGCATGTGCATTTCAATGAAATACGTCGTGCGTGTCCAATATTTCAACAAGTATATCTTGGCACGTTGCACGTACCATTATTGGAAATAATGGTACACCAACATCAAGTTTCGTTTCCAGACCAAGAAGTCAAGGCCTATGAATGTAAGGGACTACATCTGAGATGGGGAACTTAATTGGTGGTCTCCAACCGTAGATAATTTAAAGGACATTACTACTTGACAAAACGGTGCAGACAAACTGGATGGGATACCCTTGTTTTCTCATTAACAACCACGTGTATGAATTTTGGTGGTGGACAAATTAATACTCCGACTCCGGTATTGCCATTTTCTGACAGGAGAACTTTACACGAAGTTGTAAAACCTGGGGCTTTATTTTAAGAATCTTTCCATTGGTTAAAAACTAAAAATTTGAATTCCCAGCCAATTAATATGCTGGATTCTTAAAAATGTTTTCACTTTTTCTTAATACGGCCCCTGTTCTTAAAATTACTTTCATACGGTAAATAAAATGAAATGGTGTTTAACGTTCTACTCTTATATCGAATTCCAACTGTCAAGGGATCTTTTACGTGCACGCTGATGTGTACACGGGACCTCGGTTTTTTCGTCTCATCCGAATTACTAGGGATCTTTTACGTGCACGCCTATGTGTACACGGGACCTCGGTTTTTCGTATCATCCGAATGACTAGACAGTTGTCCTTGTCAGGCCCTCCGTCCTGCATTCATACGATAAACGATTCAAATTACTTTCATACGGTACATAAAACGATTCTAATTATGTGACGAGATGAAATAAATGGAAGTTGAAAGTAGGCTATATCAGAGGCGCAGATCGCCAAAAAATAGGGGGGTTCTGGGGTCCTCCCCCTAAATTTTTTGAAAACTAGACGCTCTAAAACGCACCCTGTGGGTATTTTCAGCATCATTTTCTGGCAAACAATTCTGATCACTGAGGATACGAAATCTAATCTAAAGACAATTCTTCAAGCCACCGTTCATACGGTACATAAAACGATTCTAATTTTGTGACGAGATGAAATAAATGGAAGTTGAAAGTAGTATATTAACCCATCCTTGTAGTGTGACCTGAATGTATTTCTAGTTTAAATATCCCACTCCTACATAAAAACTGGATAATATCCGGTTTAAATCCGGTCTCCTGATGAGTCGTAGTCCAGTCACAGCTCTAATGTTTATTGATTGACGCACGCTTTTAAAGCGAGTATTTTAACTTTAAAGCTGAACCCCGATTACAAAAGTACAGAAATAATTAAATAAAAAAAAATTACCGCCCTACATAATTGCCATACTTGTTTTCAATTTTTAGAACATGCATGGCGATTGTACGGCGCACGAAAACAGAGGCAGGCCACGCCCACATCCAGTATACACCCTTTCAACCACACTGTCCGCATCCGGCTGGCAATTTTTCAGCTACCAATTACCTCCTGACTGATGTGTTTTCATTATCGGTATGTCTATCTCTATGCCGACCTGAATTCCAACCATCCAATCGGGCAGTTTAAGCTGTTTTCACAAATAATAATCGATGCCCGAAAAATGTCGCACAAAGTAGAGTGGCCCCAGGTAAAATGTTCTGCTCCTAAACTGGGCTAATGAAAACGGGCATACGCCATACAGTGTCCTATGATGGAAATTTTGCCCAGGCAGTGGCACTACGGCCTACTCTTATATCGAATTCCAACTGCCAAGGGGTCTTTTACGTGCACGCCAATGTGTACACGGGACCTCGGTTTTTCGTCCCATCCGAACGACTAGACAGCGGTCCTTGTCAGGCCCTCCGACCTGCATCACTGACAAGGGGAAATCACGCCGGAAAATCTGGATGAACTTTCTCGGCCAATGCAGGGATCGAACACCCGACCTCCAGGCTAGCGAGCCAGCGTCTTACCCACTTAGCCACGTGATCCCCGGCCCCAGATAAAAAGTTTTAATCCAGCCAATTCAATACAAATTCGTGGTATTCAATTAAAAGAAAAGTAAAAATAGTGATTTGTTAGATTACTCGGACACTTGATTTTGCCAACTAGATGAAATGTTAATTTTTGTTTTCACTTTACCCGAAAGTTAGAACCATCTATTCCAGCATTGATGTTGATGGATGGAGTGTCTGACAAAGCGTCTGGTTGTTCGGATGTCAAAGAAAATCGAGGCCACGTGTATACCAGTGCAGAACAGTTACCCCTTGCCAGATATGATGTAGACAGTAACACCAACCCCCCCCCCCCCCCCCCCCGGCAAGACAATCCGGTGCTAAATAATAAGGCCAGCTCAATTTTTCGTCATAAGTCACGAGATGTAAACAGGGCTGGCGCTAATCCCAACCCTAACCCAACCTTGGACCTAGCCCCAATGCTTACCCTAATCCTAAACTACAATCTCGCCAACAATCACGTTCCCTAACCTTATTTACATATCAGCGACCTTGACAAAAATTGAGCTGGCCTTAACAAATAGATTTAGCCAAGAAAATCCCCTCATAGCGTAATATCAATTTTGGATTCTGAAGAAACAACGTAAAACCATGCCAGATACCACCTTTTGACCCAGTAGAGAGAATTAATTTATAGTGTCAAATATTGTTCATGTCTACTCCGGACATCTTTGGCTGTAATCAATTGAGAGATTATCCAGGATATTATTTAGGATTTAGAATTTAAAATAAAAGTAGGAAAATAAAGACAGATTTAATAAATAATAGAAATAGGAGAAGGGTTGTCCTAGACAAATGGTCGTCATGCAGGGAAACACAAACCACTTGTTTCGTGACCACTGTCAATAAATAAACCGTTTCATTTCAGATTTTCGAATATTTATTGGACTATTATTTCCGTATTCCCTGTATTTAGAAATCTCTTTAAGTTGTTTTTACCGTTATTCGGGATTAACTCGCATTAAGATACACATAGGACCGAATGCCTCCATATCGTAAAACAACAGGCTTTCCTGTTCTGTCACTTTGATTTTAAAATGGGCTCAACTCTTGCTAAATGTAAACAATAAAGCCCAGCCACACTAGCGATTTTTTCGCTTGTTTGCCAAACAAAACAATTGCTCCGCAAGAGATTCGGTGACAAAGTATGGCTCGTCAGTAGAATCTCAGGGAAAAATAGAAGGTAAGGATTCCAAAATAGCCTTAGAACAGAGGTGGGGAAAAGGGATATTTTCATACTGCAGCTTTATAGGGACGGTTAGGAACGGTCAAAGAACAGAGTCCGACCAGAGACCGTTCCTAATATCACGATTCATGCTACGATTGAAATCGTAGTTTTAATCGTGGAGTAATCATGGTGATCCTATCAGGTCTTATCACATATTGAGGTCAGTCGTAGCAATCGTATTGACCGTATCGAAACGTATCCGAAGGTATCTGCACGTACCAGATCGTGGACTCAATAGAGACTTTTGGCAAGCGTAATTTCCTGGTCCGTATCGCGTATCCGTATGGATTCTGCGTGTGACGTCATCAATGTCTGTGTATTTCTCATACGTGATACGGCACACGGATACGGCAGCACGTATGGAACGGCTTTCATACGGAAATGGTCCGTATAACACTGTCGTCTTTTTACCGTCGTTTTTGCTACTTTTAGACGCTGAAATGTTGCATCATAGCGTTTTTATGAATCTGTGTGTATCCTAGAACACGAAGGTGTATATTTGATGTGATTTTAACAGTGATAACGACTGGAATTTAATCATCATTTTTGATGGGTTGTTCTCGGAATTTCCATATTTTTCCCGCCTGTCTGCATACTGGTTGATCTACGGGCTAAACTTTCTGAAATGATACATTAGTGAAACCAAAAATTTCTAAAATCTGCCAAAACTCTAAAACTACATTGACGCAACGTATCACGTATACGATACGGATACGGGATACGGATGGGAAAAATCCGCTTGCCAAAAGTCTCTAATAGGGACAACCCTATTGTAACGCATCGCACGACTGTGGGAAGCTAGCATAAAGGAATAAGGCTCGTCGCTCTCAAATAAATAGGAGTGGCTGTGGCCCCTTGAGCAAGGAGGAACTGGCTCCCTAACCATGAAGTCTACGTTTCGATCCTGTTGTTGGACGATAAATTTCCCTGGGATTTTCCTGGGTTGTTTCCCTTGTCAGTGGTGCCATTGTTTTGTTTGACCAATAGGCACCAACTGACATATCATGTGATCTAAAGACATTGGCACTGACATAACCAGCTTTTCATCCATAGGCGCCTCTAATTTGGCAGTCACAGATCAGGGGGTTGATTGGTTAGTCAAGTGGTTAACGCGTGCGCGTGAAATCACAAGTTCTGTCATTGAGTCAAGGGGCGTGGTTTCCATTCCCCACTTGATTGTGACAAGAAGTAGGGTCGCCTGATAAACCTCGTAAGTTTCTTCTGGTCATTCGGTTTCCTCCCACTGCTAAAGATCCCAACGCGCAAACGAATTATTGAAATAAAATTGAACCAAATATTATTCTCTTATATCGAATGCCATTGCCCAAGGGTTCTTTTGCGTGTCAACCCTCTGTCTCTCACAGACCAGCGATGGCAATTATCCTAGCTTGGTCGCCGGGGAGACATTCCTCACGGGGTCAATCACTTTGAATTGCACATGACGTCAGAATTTTTGGACCAAATCCTGTCAGTGTCGCTAAAAGTAAACCATTATCTCGTTTATGAACGCGAGATTTCGTTTTGTGAGTAATGTTTCCCTTGTGCAAAATTTAATTATCCCTAATCAGTCGTCTGCAAAGTTCGTGCAAGCGCACACACGTCGTTGTGATTTCAGCAGCGTTCACTGTTGGTTACCCAGCAATCACTCATTACTTCACGAAGCGAGGGGAAAATATCGGTCGTGTGTACCGGGCTTAAGTTGCAAATATTTCTGCATGTAACCGAATATCAGTCTATTCAACCAATTTGATTCCTTTTAGAGGTGACTTCCGTTTAACATAGTTTAATCCGGAAGTTTATTTATGGAAATATGTAGGCCTACTTATCGGTGTAGCCTATAACACTGTTTTAAAAATGAGTTGTTTAAAGAGAGAGCGCGAGAGAGAGAGAGCACTTAAGAGAACACTTGCGAAATAAGAGGCGGGGTTTAACGTCCACTCGACACAAACTAGGTTATTTTGGGACTAACATATAGTTCAATTTTATTTCAAAATTCGCATTCACGTATGGGTCTTTAGTTGTGGGAGGAAACCCCATTCCAGACAACCCGGAGAAAATCCTACTCCTTGTCACGTACAAGCGAGGAATCGAAAGAATTGTTTAAAGGGACAATAGGTCTATAGATGTAAGCTAAAATAATTAATTGTCATTAAACAGCGGTTAATATTTGATTGGAATATCTCAAGCTACCCTTGTCCGTAAGTCGCTCTCTATATCAGCATCCTTGTGCTGCGGTGTACCCCAAGGTTCAGTCTTTAGTCCCATATTATTTTGTATGGTCACAAAACCAATTGGAAACCTATTATATCGACATTATAAGAATCGCTATTTTTACGCAGATAATTCCCAGGCCCTTGGTTCACAAACCATTCTCAGACTAAAGTTAAGAATTTACTCAAAATTGTTCGTCTTATTGTAACTAAAATATAGCGCTTTATAAAACTATGTTGTTTTAATGGATCAAATACATCAATAAGAAACTATGTGAAAGGTGTTGTGTTTCTGGATCAAAGATATTTCTCATAAACAGTGATTGAAAGTTGAGTAAATTTTTAACTTAAGTCTTTTTTTGCCTTGTGAACTCGAGGCCAGATCATTGACCTAACCTGCACTAATATTGAAGCATATATGGGGGGGGGGGTGGATGGCGGAATGGTTAGCAGGTGCGCGTTGCATCATAAGGTCTGTCATTTTTAGTCAACTGGCGTGGCTTCTATTTCCCGGTTCGCCTGTTCAACCTCGTGGGTTTTCTCTGGGTTCTCCGGTTTTCTCCCACTGCTAAAGACCCATACGTGCAAGCGAATTATTGAAATAAAATAGAACCATTATGTTAATACCGAAATGACCCAGCCTCTCTCTCTCTCTCTCGCTCTCTCTCTCTCTATCTTAAATCATGGAGTTATCTCCCTGTTTGTATTCAACTCATGAAATCGCGACCTTTATAGAGCGTGCTATCTATACAGTGGTTCCCAACCTTTTACTAGGCACTACTAGTGGAAACTTTAGAACTGTTTATAAATCTCCAATCATCTCTAGTCTCAGATTGACTAAAGACGGTCACGTGGTATAAAGGCAATGTCTCCAATTGGAAAACACTAACAAGAAGGACATGACAGTAAAGGCTTAATGCCACTCTTGTTGTAACTGAATAATATGTCCCAATCTTTATTCTGGTCAACAAATTGTACTATTTTACAATATTCCAATTAATTGGTGATACAAATTTCATCTTAACACACCTAATTTAAACAATTGGAAAAATTCAACTAAATGATTTGAAAATCCTAACGTAAATCTTTTCAAATGTGACTTGGATTTAAAAATATTTTCGAACCCTTTGGACAAGTAAAATAGGATGTAATGGATAATTTACACAACAGACATAGGCGTAGGAGCCGGGGGGGCAGAGGGGGCAATTTGCCCCCCCCCCCCCCAAAAAAATTTTTATTTTCGGGCAATGAAAAATTCGACGACCTTTTTTTTCTATTAACGTTTAGAGAAAAAATATAACTAACTTATTTCTATGAGATCCACACTGCCCGAAAAGTATTTTCTCGTCTTTTTCTTGTCCACTGCATGCCCGAAAATATACCCGAAGCTCTCTTATGATATGTATGCCCGAAAAAACGGTATTGATTTCGGGCAATTTTCTCTTATGCCCCCCTGAATTACTTTGAGCTCCTACGCCTATGACAACAGATAGGACACTTAAACATCTAGTACTTAGAATAAGGCTATTTTTTTTTATTTTCTGAAGCTGTCAAGCCAGCAAGAGTGTTATTGTCCCTTTAAATGGAGTTTAACGTTCTACTTTTCTGCACCTGCTGATCTGAAACGAAAATAAATGAAATGAAATGAAATGGGGTTTAACGTACTACTGTTCTGCTCTGTCAGGGCTAATGAAGACGGGCATTCACCATACAGTGTGCTATGAGCGAAATTTTGCCCGGGCAGCAGCACTAAGGTTTATACTTATATAGATTTCCAACTGCCAAGGGATCTTTTACGTGCACACCAATGTCTCACCCGAACGACTAGACAGCTGTCCTTGTCAGGCCCTCGGTCCTGCACCACTGACAAGGGGAAACCACGCCGGAAAAACCCGATGAACTTTCTCGGCCCATGCAAGGGACGATCACTCGACCTCCAGGCTAGCGAGCCAGCGTCTTAGCCACCGTGGCTGAGTAATGAAGGACATTTTGCCTGGAGTGCTGCGCTACGACTCACCCTTGTGTGTGAAATACCTTTATTTTATGCCCGCTAATTCCACAGACGTGATATCGCAGACTCGCTTGTATTTCGATTTCGTGTGTTATAGACGGGAACTCGGTTTTTCGTCCCATCCAAACGACAAGACACCATTGCATGTCAAGTCCCTTGTACTGCACCACTTGGAAATCCAAGGAACACCGGGATCGAACCCAGGACAACCTGGTTAGTGAACCAATCTACCGTGACATAATTTGAAAAGAGAAAAACAACAATTGTATGCATACTAAACCTAGGCTGTCTGCCCACAATTAGCTCCACCCGAGAACAGACATTAAGCTAGTTGACCGACATTTTAAATCCAAAGTCGACCAGTATATTTCGAGACTTTTAAGAAGTATATATATTCTGCTTTCATTTACTAAAATTGAAAAGGTTTAATTATGTGTATAACGGATGTGAACCGGAGTAATAACGGATGTGAACCGGAGTAGGACCGCATTACAAAACAGTATACATGTACTAATTATTGGATATGGCGGCTATTTATGGCAGAGATCCATTCTAGAAGTGGAGGAGATATTTCTCTGTGTGCAATCTACCTTGACGAATTTGAAAAGAGAAAAACAACAATCGACGCACTACATAGCTAACTTATTTTTAACAAGTTACATGCATTAATGATGAAACGAAGTTTGCCAGGTGAAACTAAAGGCATCCAATCGTAGCTAAAAACAAACACACCAGTCAGTGTATCTCAACGTTTTTAGCTACGTTCTCGTTGCTATTGATATACCAGCATATTATTTGATTTTCAAACCAATTACAAAAGGAAAACACGCTCCTTTTCACGCACCGCTGGCTCTCAGGGTTTTTCCAAGAGTATAGTCCATTCTTACGCATATTTATATTTAAAGATACATTATTCAAGAGCTAAATGTTATATAAATTTATTTAGACATTAATTAACATGGCAAGACCACAATCAACTCTCAATACCACCGGATGCCTCCGATTTTTAAGTAAATTAGAACGGTTGGGCGATTTAATGATTTAATTTAAAAATGGATAATCGAGACTTTGTTTATCACCTTAACAACAGTAGCAATGACAATCGAGGCTACAGCGTTCTTCTAACGACGATAACTCGGCTGAGATTGAGTTAATTTGACTGAAATTTTCAACATATTCCCTTTTCATTATCTATATTTTAACAGTGAGAAATGTCCGCTCTTTTTGCAATCCTTGCATAATGCCGCTTTAAAAACAACTATGTATTATATATGTGTTGATTATAAATACGAAGAAAGAAATTGATTTATGTTAGAGTGTGCTCCGCCTTATTATAGGTGCGTTGGAAATAGATCTGTTGTAAAGTGGCTTTCAATTGGTTGTTTCTCTGTATAGTCATCAATCTCGCGACTTTTATTTATCAGCCGTAACACACCAATTAATTGGCTCGTCAATAAATCTACAACGCCGAGTGCCAGTCGACCGTCTTTCGAAGTTTAATCATATGGATATTTACGGCGTGTATTAGCAGAATTAACCAATTTCCACACGGAACCAGAAGAGTATCACGTTCTCAACAACACATATTATTATCTTATCTTCAACTAATTCCTTCTCGAAACCATGGTTTTAGAAGAATGTACATCAATTTCGTATTATGGCGCATCTGGAGTGTTTACTGGTGTCTTGGGATGAATATTGGTCAAGAATTTATAATTACATTCATAGGAAAATGAATTAAGACAATATCAAGTTCAGTGCACATATATAAACGTCCATTCATATTGTTTGGTTCCATTTATCGGAGGCAAACGCCGGACTTTGTTCTATTTTGAGAGTTTTTATCCGATTTTCAAGACTATTTCTTGGAACAATTTATGTCAAGACTTTTTATTAACATTTATTTATATATATTAATTCGTGTTCGAAAACAAAACAGCAATAATTTGTTTTATTAACGCTTAGTGCTTTTCTTATCGAATCAATGTTTGTTTTCCCAAAGAAGTCCACCATGCCTTTCCTGACATCTAGAGATCAACATTCCAGCGAACTGCCTGTCACCGACTTGACTGTGGACACCACGGAAAGGATAACTCTGAATATTGGCGGGAAACGGTTTGTGACGTCTAAATTCTCCCTGCTGAATATCCCCACGACCAAATTAGGAAAACTGTCGAAATCAGACCCATCTTATGATCCCAAAAACGACGAATACTTTTTCGACAGGAATCCTAAACTTGTTCAGTGTATTCTAGATCTTCATCGAACAGGGGACCTACACTTGCCCGGCAACGTGTGCAGCACCGGAGTGAAGGCAGAGCTAGAATTTTGGAATGTTCCCGAAGATTATATTGCCGAATGTTGTTGGAAGACGTATTCTTTACAGAATCAAGACCTGAAGATAGCCGCCATTATAGACCAACAAATGGGACAAAATGAAAGTGAGGAAACGAAACCAAGCAAACCGAGCATACGAGAAAAGTTATGGCGGTTAATGGAGGAACCAAGTCACAGCTTCAATGCCAAGGTTTGTAGGCCTACTATTATAACACGTTAGGGTATTTCCTTATGGCTTAAAACTGTGTAGTTTTTTAGTGTGTGTGTAGTTTTTTTTTTACTTCATATATGTTTGAGGAAACTCTAAAACAGAGACAACGGAGCAGCAAATAGCAGCGGATTTAGAGCTGGAGGAGCATTTCGTTAGCGTATTTCCTAACTGGTCCTTTCTAAGTGTGTGTGTGTGTGGTTTTTTTTTTACTTCTTACTTCAACCGATACTCAAAAAGCTGAAAACATCAGCGTATTTAAAGGGACAATAACACTCTTGCTGGCTTGACAGTTCCAGAAAATAAAAATAGCCTTATTCTAGGTACTAGATGTGTTAGTGTCCTACCTGTTGTGTAAATTATCCATTAAATCCTATGTTACTTGTCCAGAGGGTTCAAAAATATTTTTAAATCCAAGTCACATTTGAAAAGCTTTACGTTAGGCTTTTCAAATCATTAAGTTGAATTTTTCCAATTTTTTAAATTAGGTGTGTTAAGATGAAATTTGTATCATCAATTAATTGGAATATTGTAAAATAGTACAATTTTTTGACCAGAATAAAGATTAGGACATATTATTCAGTTACAACAAGAGTGGTATTGAGCCTTTAAAAACTGTGTAGTTTTTTAGTTTTTTTAGTTATTTTTTTGGCTTCATATATTTTTGAGGAAACCCCAAAACAGAGACAATGGAGCTGCAAAAAGCAGCGTATTTAGAGCCGGCGGGGCATTTCGTTTTGTTTTATTTCTTACTTCAATCCATACTCAAAAAGCTGAAAACATCAGCGTATTTAAAGCCGATGGAGCATTTTGTTAGGGTATTTCGTTAAGACTTAAATGGTCCTTTCTAAGTGTGTGTGTGTGTGTGTTTTTTTTTTTACTTCATATATTTTGGGGGAAACTCCAAAACAGAGACAACCCATACTTAAAAAGCCGCATTTAAGGCTGGTGGGGCATTTCTTTATGGCATAACTGGTCCTTTCGAAGTGATTTTTTTTTAGTTTTACTTCATATATTTTTGGGAAAACTCCAAAATAGAGACAACTCATACCCACAAAGCAGCGCAGTTAAACCAGTGGACCATTTTGTTAGGGTATTTCGAAGTGTGTGTGTTTTTTTTTTTTTTGGTTTTTTTTTTTACTTTATATATATTTTTAGGGAAACTCAAAAACAGAGACAACGCATGCCCACAAATCTGCAAATAGCAGCGTATTTAAGGTCGGTGGAACATTTCGTTAGGGTATTTCGTTATGGCTTAACTGGTCCTTTCGAAGTGTGCTTTTTTTTTTACTTTATATATTTTGGTGGAAACTCCAAAACAGAGACAACCCATATTCACAATCTGCAAATAGCAAGGTATTTAAAGCCGATGGAGCAGGGTCGGATTAAGATCCAAAGAGGCCCTAAGCACTAAGATTTTGTTGCCCCCCCCCCCCCATAATATGCAATTCAAAATATAAACTATAACAAACCACAAAGGACCGCCAAGCCACGCGGTTCGACTTTTTCTGGGATTTCATACACGTCATTATAAACTGCGAAAAAAACAGGTAACAGTAAGAAAAGACAAAAACAATGAAAAACTGATTGAAAGTTCTTAATTAATTTTAAAATTAAATATTTTAAATTTTTCATCTAACAAAGCAGATATTCGATGGTGCCGCCATTACCATTATTCCCTAAGCACGTGCATATTTTGCTTAATGGTTTATCCAACACAGGATGGCTAAATCTATTTGTTAAGGCCAGCTCAATTTTCGTCAAGCTCGCTATGATGCAAATAAGGTTAAGGCACGTTATTATTGGCGAGATTGTAGGTTAGGATTAGGGTAAGCATTGGGGCTAGGTCCAGGGTTGGCGTTAGGGTTGGGATTAGCGCTAGCCCGTGACCAAACTTGAAGTTGGCCTTATGAAATAGATCTAACCGGACAGGATGGAAGGTACTGACGGTTAGAGCTAAATGATAAGGCCAGCTCAATTTATTTTTCGTCATAGGTTACGAGATGTAAACAGGGCTAGCGCTAATCTCAACCTAGCTCCAATGCTTACTCTAACCCTAACCTACAATCTCGCCAATAATCACGTGCCCTAACCTTATTTACATCTCAGCGACCTTGTCAAAAATTGAGCTGGTTTTGATTCCGCGCTTGAACGTGACAAGGAATAGGATCGCCTGTCGAATCTCGTGGGTTTTCTCTTGGTCCCCCGGTTTCTTCCTACTGCTAATTAATTAATTGTTTCGTCTAAACGAATTACAATCTAATATTTCTTTAAACGAATTAATATTTCTTTAAACGAATTAATATTTCTTTTAAACAAATTAATATTTCTTTTAAACAAATTAATATTTCTTTTAAATGAATTAATTATTTCGTTTAAACGAATTAATTATTTCGTTTAAAAGAATTAATTATTTCGTTTAAAAGAATTAATTATTTCGTTTAAAAGAATTTTGTTTAAAAGAATTAATTATTTCGTTTAAACGAATTGATATTTTGTTAAAACGAATTAATATTTCGTTTAAATAAATACATATTTCGTTTTAAAAAAATTGATAATTCGTTTAAACGAATTGATAATTCGTTTAAACGAATTGATATTTCGTTTAAACGAATTGACATTTCGTTTAAACGAATTGATATTTCGTTTAAACGAATTAATATTTCGTTTAAACGAATTAATATTTCGTTTAAACGAATCAATATTCCGTTTAAACGAATCAATATTCCGTTTAAACGAATTAATATTTCGTTTAAACGAAATAATGAATTCTTTTAAACAAAATTCTTTAAAAGGAAATATCAATTCGTTTAAACGAAATATCAATTCGTTTAAACGAAATATCAAATCGTTTAAACGAAATATCAATTCGTTTAAACGAAATAATTATATAAGAGTGAAATCGTGCACTTAAGGTGCTCCTTAACATAAATAAATATCTCCAAATATCTCGACAATTACACCACAATATTTATATATATACCAAACCTTAAATAAGTTTTGCACATTTATAGTCACTAAATAAACGGTCATGTTGTACTTAATAAGCTATGACCATTTAACCATCCATAAACAATACACTGAAAGATGGTTACGAGTGTCGGTCATAATATCCGGGCACGTGTGAGTAAAAAATAGGTTACGTGCCCTTATTTTGAAATTAGTCTCGCTTTACCAGTCTACCGACCATCTTACGTCAGATTGACAGGCCGGGATAATCAAGTTTACTTTTTTTACGAAACATAACAAAATAAAACGAACGTAATTTCTAAAGCTGCTGTGATAACCAAAAAGCTTAATTTTACTGCTATTCAGAATCGTCAAAAAAATAGTTTTTTTTACGGCTGTAATAGTTGATAGATCTGCAGAGAATTGCACGTGCAATGGCTATTTATAGTCTTATAGACTCTAGTGCTGAGTATTATCATACTGTGTTAAGCCAGAAATCACTTCCAGACAAGCCACTGAAGCGTGGACATTCGCCGTGTCGAGTTCAACTTTCTGTAGGGAAAATTTTCAATACACGGGTCACTCTACAATAGGTTGATATGTGTACAGTAAAGATATCTTGAACGGTTTGTGAGGTATATGCTCCGGAATCAAAACAAGGCACATCGTCGGAGCCCCCTTGAATATCGGTCCATTGATTTTGTTCGGAGCTGGAATTTATTCTTGGAATATTATGATATACCAAATTCGCGCAATTTCACTATGTGCAACAAAAAGCTTAAAACCGGGCTAATGAATGCTATGATGGACATTTTGCTTGGACAGCTTACTTCGAATTAAAACTCTCAAGGGTTATTTAACGTGCACACCAAAGTGTACACGGGGCCTTGGTTTTCCGTCCGAAACGACTGTAGAAAGTTTCTTGCCAAGCCGCCCGACCTGCACCACTGACGAGAGGGAACTGCGCCGAAAATTCGGAGTAACTTTCCTAGTCAAGCACCACTAATGAGAGGAAAAGCCAGAGTAACTTTCATGGCCAACTCCAGGATCTTCTGTTTAGCAAGCTAGCGCTTAACTCGCTGAGAATCACCACGGCTCCCTTTAGTATGTGCTTCAAAGTTATGGAATCTTCTTTTATTAACTACTAGTGAATGACCCGACGCTGCACATGTTAAAAGTAGTATAACTCCGAAACCGCAAGCGGAAGGTCAACATCACCTAGCCTATGTTACGCCTCCGCCCGAGTTACCCCATTACACCAAATTTCAGCCTGGTGTAGCCACCAACCCCGAACAGACAGACGCACAAACAGACAAACGACAGCCACAAATATTAGTACAGATTAGAAACTTAAACGTCCACATCTGCTTTTAAAAAAACTTAGTCTCTATAATCCAAAAATATATTCTACGAATATTAGTCTGGATGCGTTGTCAACATTTGAGAATAATAGGCCATTGGCTAGATTATCCGGTCTTTCACATTATCATAAGGGGGGTAACTAATCCTTAAATAAGATGTCGACGACCATGGAATTAATTTAAGAGTGTCGTTCCATTGCATTGCCAGTTCAATATACAACACTTTTATTTTTTTTTATTGTAAAATTTCTCTCTTCATGAGCCATATCTATGTAATTTTAGTTAACCCCAATTCGTCGTCACAATTCATGTTTTTTTATCATAATGCAAGAATTGTGGGATTTATTGTGGGAAGGGGTGTCACTCTTGCTTGACTTGGAGAAAAATACTGGCTAATCAACCACATACAAAAAATAAACTCCCGTTTACGCATGGGCAATGGAACTTTTCGTCAAATATTGACAACGGTCCCAGATCCTACGTACGTCATATTCCTGAAGCAATGGCCCGAGAAATCCCTATCTGGCCATTGCTGGATTAGCTTCTGATACTTGCGCTTTTGAGGGAGTGTGTCTATTCTTCCCGCTCAATCAAATCTATCCAAAAGCACAGTAACATGACGGCCCTTCGTTTAATCAGGGGTCTTCCCTAAAACTTTGGACAGTGATTTAA